TTTTTTTTTCAACCTAAAATTTTCTTCAAGTCCAAGTTTAGCTATTTTCAATGTCCAGAGATCTGAGAGTTAAGAAATATTAAAAAAAAAAACAACTAGTTGTTTGCAGCCACAAACAATCACTACTGTTTTACTAAGTAGGTACGTTTTTAAATTGTTAATAAGTCTCAGCACCACACAAACTTGACTATTCACTCTGTTAGTCCGCCGAACACTGCACAAATGTCGCAAATTACCGGTGATCGAGTTTTCAATTAGCTGTCGAAAAGCGTCAAGCACCAACAAATGCTCCCGACCGTGTGGAACAGAGCAACTCAGTTGTTCAGTTTTTTTATTAAATTATTTACTTTTTATTATTTTATCTTTACTTGTTGACGCTTGCTTTTATCTTTTGGCTGGTACAATTTGTTTGCAAACCGTTCGAATGCGCTCATTTTGGTAGATCTTACAGAGGTGAGCTCTCTACGATAAGCGATGAGTCAACCAGCGAATACTCACCAGGCGAGATCTGTTTCATTGAGTGAAAATCTTGCGATGATTGCTCCCGGTATTTTTTTTTTGATCGCACTGTGTACTTTCTTTCGCTGTAAACGCTCACGTGCGCCGAAGAGACTGCATGTTTTGAAATGAGACAGCGGCATTTTCAGCATTTCATCTGCATTCTGTGCACATATTTCAATAGAATAGCGATATTTTTTTTATTAGTCATTTGAAGGATTTTTAACAAGATTGTTCATAGTTAGCATGAATTTCACAAGCAGGCTTGGACTAATCTATATATTAATTTCATGAGAATTAATTCCTAATGAAACTATACTGCAGATCTGTCACAAATATACCGGTATACATACATATATTGTTTTTCAACAATTACACTGTGTAACAGTGAATATCAATTTTTGCGTCACCTCGTACAGATCGTAAGGTTTGGTTTAATTATTCTCGAGACAATGTTTAAAATTTTGCATCCTGTAATTTGGAATTTAGAACGAATAAAGTAAAAATCCCGAACGACCATTATAATTAAAGTATACAACGGCTCTAACAATTTTAATTAATTTTTGTATTTATGTATGTAGATAATGTTTTGCATTTTAAGTTTATCCAAATAGGTGCTATCTCCGAAAATATTCGTATAAAAATGCCGCATATTCGTTACAATTTAAATATAACATCCTAACATGGGTATCAAATGGTAAGTGTTTTAAAAACACCCAAATCAGAAGTATTTTTAAATAGGGTAGCCACCTATTTTTCGTCGTTTATTTACTTAATCTTTTTGTTTGGAAAATTAAGATACAATATTACTTTTGATGGGTAATAAAAGAAAGCTCTTAAAAAGTGATTTAAGATTTAAGTGTAAGGTTGCCACTTATCTTCGAGTCTAAAAAATTTATACAAAATAATTTAATATTGCCACATTTTTAATACATACGAGAATTTTTTGTAANATATCGATCTCACATTCCTTCAGACCGCTCTCTAAGTGGTGATGTGCCAGTCAAGTTCTCACAACAGTGAGTTCAGCTTTCTCGGCGTTGAGATTCCCGCAGATCTTTTATAAGCCACGTAGCTTGATGGATGTTCTTATGCTGGAGCGCACTAGACCACTAAAAGACATACAATTTTCTGAATTTTGTAACAAAGTATTATTATTGAAATTCATAATCAAATAGGCCTGTGCCTTAAGTTCGCATTTT